CTTATTTGTATTTTCCATCCAGTGGGAGCTTCTGAGAAGCAACTCAAAAACACATGTTGAGATGCCATCTTTAGCTTCCATAGGGAACCCACACACCTCGTGACTCTGGCTCCTCATCAGGCGGCCTGGTCTCTCTCTCTCTCTTTTTTTTTTTTTAATAAAAATGAATATTTTTTCACTTTTAATTAAATATAATTTACACACAGTAAAGTTCATCCATTTTGCTATACAGTTCTGCTAGTTTTGGCGAAGGAATACAGGTGCAACCTCCACCACCACAGTCAAGGTGTAGAACAATTCCATCACCCCCAAATGTTTCCCATCCCCTATGTTTAGTCAACCCTTCCTCCCAACCCCTGGCCCTGATAACAACTGATTTATTTTTTTGTCCCAATAGTTTTGGCTCTTCCAGAATGTCCTGTAAATGAAGTTATTCAGTATGCATTCAGTAAGTGAAGTCTCTGGAGTGTAGCACGTCTTTCACTTAGCATTATGCATTTGAGATTCAGGCGTCAGCCTCACTCACAGCAACCTCAAACTTCTGGTTCAAGCAATCCTCCTGCCTTAGCCTCCTGCATAGCTGAAACTACTGGCACTCACTCCAATGCCTTGCTAATTTTTCTATTTTTTTGGTAGAAATGGGGATCTCACTCCTGGTCAAGCTGCTCTCAAACTCCTGAGCTCAAGTGACTCTCAGCCTTGGCCTTCCAGAGTGCTAGGATTGCAAGTACAAAGCACTGTGCCTGAATGACATGTCTTACATATACCTTATAAGTGGATTTATTGGCTCAAAGATTTGAATATGCTTAAAACTATTAGTACATACTAAATTAGTCAGGCAAGGTGGCTCATCTTTGTAATCTCAGCACTTTTGGAGGTTAGGACAGGAAGATTTCTTGAAGCTTGAGCCTAAGAGTTTGAGAACAGTCTTGGTAACACAGAGAGACTCCATCTGGGGAAAAAAAAAGTTTTAAAATTAGCTAGATGTGGTGGTGCGTATCCATAGTCTACCTGGTCTCTTTTTCAGGCCATTCAGGTACCCCAAACTTCTCTTGAAGGAACTCAAGATTTTTCTTTATTTCCATGCTTTATTTTTTATTTTTCTTTCTTTCCACGAATGGAAGGGGTAGCAGCCCCCTCAGGGGGGTGTCCCTGCTCAGTCTCAATCCTAGCATTAGGTTAAGTAGTCTTAAGAAGTCTTGTTAGAAGTATTTTGTAATGTGTTTACATTACCATAAATGTCTAGAAAATGCCAAATGCTGCAAAAATTGTAATTCTGTTGATTGCACCATTCATCTATAATCTAATCAAACTTTCCCACATAATTTGATATAGATCACAACCTTGATTCTTAACTGTTTCCCCTTATTACCAAGAATAACTCAGCATTTTTTTAAACTTGACTTTCTAAGGAAAGACTTTCTTGCTTTAGAAGTAAGAAGTATTACTCCTTGTATTTTGTTTTAGTAAAATACCAGAAATACTCCTCCATCTTTACAAAAGTAAGGTTTTTGATAACAGATACATTTTATATGAGCTTTCTACACTCACTTTCACAGAACTGACATGTCCCTTACTAATCCTAGATTTCTCCCCATCACCTGTCCCAACACATACTTTTCTCATGACGTATTCCTCTTAGTTTCTATTTCTTAGTCTACTCCAGGAAGGCCCATTTAAGGTGAGGCTGACACACTACAAAAAATTTAGGATCTGAAAAGCAGGAAATTACTTTAGGACTTAAACACATTTTATTTACCCCTACTTCTTCCTCTTAATTTGTATAGCACTACTTTCAAGTTGTTATAGGAAAGGTATAGAAAGGTCTATTGACATAACCATTTAACTCTTTCTTTGGAGAGAATATTTTCAGATTCTGTTCAATTCCATGAGAATTCCTTGAGTATTTTCTAGGTACAAGTCATTCCATAGGCTCTGTGAAAAGAAACCATGATTACAAAGCTGTGCCCTCTGTTCTCACATTAATCTTCTCTAAATTTATATGTTGTGTAAAACTTTCACAGTTGTGCAAACCTTTCTTCTAAATACTGTCTAATAGAGACTTCCATCATTATTTATTAGGATGTTACCGTAGGGTAGAAAACTTTGACATAGACACAAAAGAACATATGCACAAAATTTACCAGAAAGGCAAATATGAAATAAAATTCTGGATGCTAATCTACATTTAATATTATATTTCAGAAGTTTGATCAATGTTAGAGGTCTCTTTCTATGTCTAATGCAAATCACTGTCCTCAGAGGAAATCACTTGCATTTCATAGATCAGACTATAATTAAATATAGCTACAGTTACAGAGAGCCAATTATCTTGCTAGTGCTTTATGAGCATTACTTCTAACTTTCACAAAATCCTTCAAAGTAAATACTATTACAGTGTTACAGTTGGGAAAACTGAGACAAAGAGAGGATAAGTTATTTGACAGTTTACAAGGAAGAAAACAGCAACAGTTATCAAGCCAGCCTGCCTTTCCCATGACCCCAGACTTTAGAACTGCACCATCCAACCAATGAAGTAGCAATGAGCCACCTGTCAACTGAGCATTTCATATGTGGCTAGTCCAAACTGAGACTAACTAAAAGAAGACACTGGATTTTAAAGACTTAATACCCCCCACAAAGAATGGAAAATATCACATTAATAATTTTTATGTTGATTACATGTTAAAATATTCCAAAATATCTTTTTTAAAAAATCTTGGAAAAAATATTTCAAGTAATATTTTAGATATGTTAGAGTAAATAATATATGTTATTAAAACCAATTTCACTTATTTCTTTCTTTTATTTGGCTACTAGGACATTTGAAGTTACCTCTGTGGCTCACATTGGTGGCTTACGTTGCATTTCTATCAGGCAGCACAGGTTTAGACCGTGGTATAAATTTCTTAGTGTGTCTCATGTTACCTTTTATTTTGCTTTTACTTACTCTTTTATTCCCCCTAAAAGCTGTGAAACAACATGAATGTGGTAATTAACAAGATGCTAAAAACTTTTATTGGACTCATCAGCAAACTCTTTTTTCCCTAAACATGGATTAGAGAACTTGTTAACTTGGTGAATGTTCCTGAAAAGCTTTTTGGCTTCTGCTGAATTTTACTGCTTCCTGAATGGAATGTAAGTGCTTTCAAACAAGGGCCAATTCTTAGTTTCTGTCTTGTATTATTTCCATAGATGTCAAATACATTGGGAGGTAGTGGAAATGTTATTGCCATGGTAAATCAGTTGGTATTGATGGGTGGACAAGGTAGGGACCTAAAAGTTCAAGTTTGATCTTCTATTCAATAACAAAAGAGACATTGCAAATTATTGCCACTAGATCTCAAACCCACCAAATTAATTTTTATCCTGGAAAAATGTGTACTGACACCACTGTCCTATTTTCTCCCTCTTGCCTCTGAAGTATTTAGCTAAAAGGACATAGATAGCAGACTAAACTCATTCAAAATCTCCTTGCCTTTCTCCTTAGCCCCAAATACTTAGGGAAAATATCTTTTCGAAATAGCAATTTAAAAAGGAAAAAGAAAGGAGAAACAAAACATATTTGGCCTAATTTAGCTTCTCTGATTTCCAGGTTAGGATATACAAATGTGCTTTATAATGGGGTTTCTGATAAGCCTATTGTCGGTTGAAAATATCTTAAGTTGAAAATGCATTTAATACACCTAACTACCAGATATCATAATTTATCCCAAGCTACTTCATATGTACTCAGAAGACTTACATTAACATACAGTTGGACAAAATCATCTAACACAAAGCCTATTATATAATAAATTGTAGAATATCTCATTTAATATGTTGAATATTGTACAAAAAGTGAAAAACAGAATGGCTGTATAGGTATGTGAAGTACAGTATCTAATTACTGTGTTATCACTCCCACACCACCATAAAGCGGAAAACTCTAAGTCAAAGCATCTTAAGTCTGGGACCAGATATAATTAAAGCATATTTTCATTAATTAAGATGCTTCTAGTTGCACATAATAGAATATAAATTGGATATGTAATAACAGCTCACTAAATTCTTTTACCTTTCAGAATTAACTTTGTATAATCTGGACTTTTTATAGACCAAGAATACTGTTTCTACATTTGTTAATCTGAATGTAGCCAATATCTGTTGTCTTTGCTATGCAAAAATCACTTCCCACTGCTTCTGGGATCAGACCTCTTCTTTCCTGGGAAAATCCATTCCATGCCCTTCAATTGGGGTCACTCTGCACCCTATCCAAGTGGGTGGGGAGCCTGCAGCCTGGGGCCACATGTGGCCTTTTGGATCCTTGACTGAATCCAAATTTTAATAAAAGCATTTGTTTTGTGAAGTTTGGATTTGATTGAGGGGCTGCATTTGGCGATCTGGAGGACTCAAGTGGCCTCAAGGCAGCAGGTTCCCCACTTGAATGTTCTGTAATGACAGTTGACACCAGCTGGACTAATCAGATCCTTCATAGAACATTTTATAAAAACCACTGGGAAAGACCATTTCATTCTGCTAATATGATATGCATGTAGGGTTGCTGGTGGCTGTTCCACCACACAAAGGGCTTATCTGGAGAATACAGAGTTAGCACCTAAAATATCATTTGAACTGTGTTGAAGCAATACACCCTTGATTACCTATGTCCATGTTCTCTTTTCTGTTCAAATAAATATGCAGTGGGTCCAAAAGATTCCTGGTTAACACAAAATTGTTATTGAGATCGAGATGTTGTAAGTGACAAGCACAAAACCTTTAAATTAACTCAATTGAGTTGCCACGAAAGTAGAAAGATCCTTTTATCACCATTTTCTTTCTTTTATTTATTTATTTATTTATTTATTTATTTTTATTAAATGGTAACTGTGTACATTAATGCACTTCTGGGGTACAGTGTGGTGTTTTCATAAACAATCCGAAACACTTCCATCAAACTAGTTAACATAGCCTTCATGTAATTTTCTTATTGTGTTAAAACGTTCATATTCCGCTCATAGAAAGATTCACTTGTATCCTTGTAAGATGAACCACAGAAGTGAACCAAAAGTAGAGCCTTTAGATAACCTCAATACTTCTTCAATTTAAAAAACCTAGATACTACCCAACAAACACAATGTAACCTAATCATATATACCCTTAATCTGAAATTTTTAAAGAAAATAATACATATGCCCTAATAATTATACAAAATAAAAATCTAGACAAATGATGAAATCTTGCATACACTCAAGTCTGAGTGAAACATAAGGCCACACTGGAGAGTGGACATGTGAACACTCCGTCTCTGCTCCCTTTCCCTAATACCAGTTTCTGGACAGATAGCCATTCTTTGGTGAAGAGTAGTAATCCCCAATTCCCCAGCCACTCTTTAATAACAATGGCATTTGGTGTATGAACTTACATCTTTAAACACATCTTCAGGATTTGGGAATTTCTGGGACCATAACTTTAACCCAGCCTTCCATAACAGTCTTTCTACTTTCTATTACAGAACATGACACTTCAATAACAGCAATGAACCGCTTAAGTTTTTTCACTTCTGCAGAAGCTAAAACAACTTCTCCAATATACAAAGGGGCTGGAAAGTTAATTTCCTGAGAAAGAAAGACACAGCCTGGTCCTGGCATTTCAGTACCAAGGAGAGCTGAGATAAGTCCATTGATCAAAACCCCATGTACAATTGTCTTTCCAAACTTGGTGTGTTTTGCAAAATCTTCATTTAAATGCAAAGGATTGACATCGCCTGTTAACTCTGAGAAGGTAGCCACATCCCTGTGTGTGAAGGCCCTGCTAAGTTCAGCCCGGTCTCCAACTTTGACGCGCATACGCTGACAAGGCTGCCTGTTCAGCACTGGCTGGTTCAGGCAGACTCTCCTCCGAAGCCCAGCCCACCAAAGACGATGAATGGCAATTATTGGGAACATTTTTCAGCACCCTTGAATTTCATGAACAGAGGCTTTTACCCTGCTTCAGTCTTCAAACATCATGCAGGGACCAAAAAATATTTTTTAGAGTGAAGAAATATTTCTGAAATTGCAGGCTATTCAGTCCAATACTAGTTCCCTACTATTACCAGATAATGCAAGGAGAAATGGAGAAACCTGAATCACTCTGAAAGCACATTTTTTGCCTTTGTAGGATCCTAATAGGGTCAAAGAGCTCCACAATTTGACAAGACCACTGCTATATATTCTCAAGATGGCTGACAAAGTCTTCTCTTCATAGGTTAGGATGTCCAAGGGTAAGGCAGCATCAACCTCTCCAAACAGGTCTTTCAGGGCTGAAATTAGCAGATGTTTGAACTGTGCAGCATTCAGTCCAACTCCATGATCTTGAAATTCTCGGCACTCCACTTCCCGACCCCAACAAGACGTCCACTCCACGAGACAAGGGTCTTGTTCTTTGTTGTTTGCCCAGGGCCTAAAACGGTGCGTGGCACACTGGCACTTGCAGGCGTGCTCATTATAGAGCACGCGGTCCTCGCTGCCACCCTCTGCGATCGAGACCACACGCCACACAGGCCCGTTGCACCTTGGCGGGTGAGGCCAATCAAGGCCGGTCTGCACCGCTCGCCTTGCGCATGCGCTCCCGGGGAACCCAGAGCGGCCGACTGAGACCACTCTTCGGAAAGCAGCAGTCGCTTGTATGGACTTCCGCCTGCCCGCTCTCCGTCGGACAGTATGACACCTCCTCTGACTTCTGTAAGCAGCAAGGATCCGCCAAAGTTTGAAGCGCCCTGGTCGCAGCCAGATCCCAGGGCCGGGGAAACTCCTGGTAGGTTTACGTTTGGCTACCTTATCACCATTTTCAAAGAAGGCAAGTCTTATGAGGGTGTGCATGTGTCAGCTGGGTGAACAGCTGCTTCTGTATCGCATGAGCCATGTTGCCACTGAAGTTAGAGTTTTAAGAGACAGAAGAAGATAATACCATGTTAGTTATTTCTGAAAGTATTTAGTAACGTCTCAAACAAGGTAAATGCCTCAAAAGAGGCACATTTGGGAACAGAATAAGCATGCAGCCATGCTAAGGAAGGTTCTTGTGGCTAGAGGCCAGACATGCAAGAGAGGTAGATAATGACACATCTCAATGGATTGAAAAAGCTGACATTTATGACTGTCAGAGTGATGTGAGCATACTCAGTGAAGGGTATATCTGCAGAGGAGGCAGTTGGTGTCCTAAGTTAGCAGGAAGGAAACAAAGAAACTCATCCCAAGACATGGTCTTGACTGGGCTGATGGCCTCAATGTCAAGGGCTTGGGGATCACAGAGGAGGAATGGAAAAGCAACGTGGCCACGCTTAGGACTCTATATTTGAAATGCAAGAGCTAAGCGCTAAAAGCAACTCCACTTGTGGCTTGAACCCACTCTGGCATGGCATGTTCAGTTCAAGTGTTTCTCTAGGAACAGAGCATCCCTGTGTACTCTGAGAAAGGACTGCAAAATAAGAAGCAGAACTTGAGTAGAGGACCAACTATACTTCCTTGTTTCTTTGAAGCTAGAAGAGGATCCTTTGATCTAAATAAACACTTTGGAAAGAGAAGTGTATACCTCAAAAGAGACACCTGAGTCATACCCTGAACTACTTAAGTCTAATTTTTAAGAAGCATGGATGAAAACTCATTATTTTTTTCAAAGATCAGCCAAAGTTAAAAACCACTGAGTTGGACACAAAGTGTCTAATACTAAAACAGTATTATGTGCCTTCATTCCTTTTCTCTACAGACCTCAAATCCTTCTCAAGTGCTGGATGAACTTGGGCTTTGTCAATGAATTTGTACTAAGAATTTAGCTTCCTTCACATATGCTTATATTAATTTACTCTTCTGTACAATATTCAGTAAACATTTTAATAAGTATCCTAACCTAGATACTTGAAATAGTGACAAACAAAATACAATCTCTAGCCCTTCAGGAACCAAGAAGGCTGCTTCCGCCTATCTCAATTGCTAGATGGTACTACACATCCATTCATCTCTCTCAAACATACCTCACTGGCTATTTAAAAAAGAAAATAAGTTGACTTAAAGTTTATTCCTAAATGCTTTTATCTTCAGTAAATATAGCTGATTTCTTGTGGGATTTCCAGCATTTCCTGTTTCAGCCAAGTTTAGAATAACTTGAACTCAGATGACCCTTGTATCATTCTCATGGTATCGTAACTCCCAGTATATTGTCATTTTGTCTATCTTAGTTCAGAATAATCAGAAAGACAAATAGGAAAAAAGCATGCATATTCACATTTGTTCTAATTTAAAGAAATATTGAGGCTAAATGTCTATGCAAAAGCAGTTTACTGTTCTTTGCAAGGTAACTGGATTATATTGTGTTTAGGATTCTAAAAAGGAGGAAAAACTGTTTCTAGAGCTTGTGATTTGGGGCTATTGTTTGCAGGTGATTTTAAAATGTATTTTTAAAGGCCCATTATGTTTCACTAAGGACAGCTTTCCTGGTTGCCATAGTGATATTCAGAAGGAGTGTAGGTGCAATCAAAGAGAGTTCTTGCCATAATAGGTGGTTTAGCATTTCTGTTGAATCTGAAGGTTGCCCAATATTTTAAAATAATGGAGCTATTTTTTAAGTCCTCATTCTTTTTAATAGATACATTTAACATCAAATGTCTCCTTTATAAAATGAGTAATAAATCCTGCTTTGGTTGAAATTTATAACAGTTTCAAAGATACTGAAAGTTATTCTGGTCATATCCTGCTTTTCTGAAGATCATATGAATAATTACTTCAGCCAATTACTCCGAAAACACTTTTTGAATAACTGTGTTCCATGCCATGGGGGGAAGAGGGAAGGAGATGTGTAAACAGACACAAGATGGGTAGATTTTTGCCCTCCAAGAGCTTACATCAGTTTCAATGGACTGATAGCCCCGAGACAGTGGTTCTGTTTGAAAGTTAATTTTCACTTTGGTACCAACCCTTTGAAATAGAGAGTTAAAAAAAAAATAGTTAAAGTAGCTCACAAGAAGCCCTCAAGATGCTTGTTTCATCCTCCTATGTGCTATGCGGATGGACTCACTAGGAGCTGGACACTTGTTGGGTCCAAAAAATAATTGTTTAATTATTATAGGAACAAATAGAATCAACAAGATCTGTGAGGGCATATACTCAGCAAACGACTGTTTTCCCAGCTAATCGCCAGTATTTTCACGAATTACATGAACAATGGGCCCTTAGGAGAAAAGCTTAAAAACAAAACAAAAACTTTTAGAAAAGCCACTGCCTATTTAGGCAACTATGAGAAGAATAAATAATAGCATATAAGTTAAAAAATCTAGATCAGTCTTAGAGGTAAGAAGCTTCAAATATCAGAGAGACGATCAAAATATTCATTTCTTATATTTGATTATATTTCCTTGACTTATTATTATTTTATGATATTTCTCGAAGATCATTTTTATCCATATACATGACATTTTAAAATAAGGTAGTACAGACTTCTACCTTACCACATTTTGTGTTTTCCTGTGGTGACGGGTTTGAGGCTATGTAGACTTCACAATCTGACAGCTTTACCTTGGCACTGTATAGGTCTTGCACCCTGGTTAATCATCAAATAAGCACACGCTATGCACTGAGTTTGGTGGTAAGAACCTTCGAAATGTGTGGGTTGTATGCTAATCACATATTTTAGTTGTTTCGATATTGATGACAATCGTTTTATGTTCTGGGTTGATCATTTCATTATAAAGTGAGCTCAGAAAGCAGTAAGACTGGAGCACAAGTGTTGTTCCCAAAGAGTTAAGGGCTCTCAGTGTCCTTTTAAGGCTCTATCTGTCCTTTATCTTTCTCTCCATCTATCTACCGTTTATACCTATCTCCCTACTTACCTATCTGTCTATCCATCCTTCCAACCAGTGGAGTATTTGTTTTGGGCATGCCGTGTGCTTTCACTGTGCTTGGCATTATGAAGAAGAAAAATAGACCAAAGAGTCTGAATCACTGTAAATTGTTCTAAAAAGGAGGAATAGGTATGAACAGTGGTAATAAAGGGACTATGGTAAGGAGAAATTTAATGGGACAGGAGGTCAGGGAAGACTCAGAAGAGAGGAGGTCTGAGATGAGAGCTGAAGGAGGAGGAGAAAGACAGCCATAGAGAGATGATTATAGAAAAATGTTCAGTTCCTCCAGAGGCAAGGAAAGCAGAGATGAAGGGAGAGAGGCAGGTGACCATGCCAGTCTTTGTGGTCCACATCAAGAAGTTCTATCATGTCAAGAGCAGTCAGTATTCATGGCCGTTGAAAAATCTATAGAGATGTGGGTAGATATGCCAAGATTTTTGTTTCATTATTACTGATATTTCTTTTTATTTCTAATAACACTTCTAATCTTGACCTCTACTGTGTCAGATATTATTACAGCCATTCAACATTCTTTCAAATGATGTTTTCATTATATATCATTTGCTATCATTATATATATAATATATATATTATATATATATCTCATTTGCTATCATCTAGCTTTTAACCTGTCAGTATATTTATATTTAAAGGACATCTTTTGTTAATAGCACAGGATGTTGATTTTTTTTTACATAACTTGACAGTTTCTCGTTTTGGATTGGAGGGTTTAGCATTATTAGCATGTTTGGGATAAAGTCTGTGGTCTTGCTGTTTGTTTTCTTTTCTGTCTCTCTTTCTCTCTCTCTTTTTTTTTTAGAAAAGAAGAAAAAAAACCAGCATTTATTTTTAGAAGACCTAATTGTCTGTATTAGAATCCCCAAGAATCTTCACAAATGTGTAGAAACTAATAAATAAGGTCGTAGGACACATAATTTACATATTATATCAATCATTGCTATTTATTTTCTATTTGTACTTTGTTACCTGTACTTCATGTATTGTCTTGTTTTTCATACATGTTTTGGATTAATTAATTATTTTTTGTTCTTCTAGTTCATCTAACCTGTTAGCTTTTTAGTTGTACTTTTCTCAGTGTTCATGCTAGGCATTATAAAATGTATCCTTTACCGTAGTCTATTATATATTGGTGCTGTCTCATTTTATATTAAGTGTAAGACCTTTATAACAACATATTTCCATTTGCCACTTCTGGCATTTTGTGTTTTTCACTTTCATTTTGTAATAAATCTCAGAATGCATTGCTATTATTTTTACTCTAAACAACCAGTTATGTTTTAAAAAAATTAAGATATGTGAAAAAATGTATAGTGGACACACATGCACCTTTTTGGTATTCTTCATTCTATTAGATGGATCTGGGTTTGTAAATGGTTCATTTTCTTCAACCTGAAGTATTTTTTGTATGTTTATTTGTTTGTTTTGTCTTGTTTTGAGACAAGGTTTTGCTCTATCACCTGGGCTAGAGAGTAGTGTTATCGCCGTAGCTTACTACAATGTCAAGCTCCTGGTAAGCATCCTCCTGCTTCAAACTCCCAAATAGCTGGGGTTCTGGCACGCATCACCACATCCAGCTAATTTTTCAATTTTGGTAGCCTCAAGTGATCCTTCCACCTTAGCCTCCCAAAGTCCTAAGATTTTAGGCATACACCACTGCTCTCAGACAGTCTAAAGATTTTTTTTTTAATTTCAAACTGCAAAAAGTAAAATTTGCAAAATGGACTTAAGGAATAGAGTTAAGAGACAAAGTGACGATTTTAATAAAAAAATTTAGCCCTACTTTTTCAATAATAGAAAATGGTGACCAGAAATGAATAAGGATATAGAAGGTTTGAACAATACTATCAATTA